ATATATATATATAAAGAATTTTACTTATTACAGAGAAGCACAATTCCGTTACATATGAACTGTTCTAGCCAAATAGCTAGGAAAAAAAAAAAATCAACCAAACATGGATCTATTCAGACCCAAGCTATACAAAAATCTTTATTTATACAATCTATTGCTATATTTTTCAAACTTGCAAGTCTAATTAAGCCTAACGGCATCCTTAATTCGACCGCAAGCTGAATAAGATTCGTAAGGGAAATTTCGTCAGAAATTCCCTTCAGCAAAATAAAATATTTTAAAAATTTGTCAAAAAATTAATATTTTTTCCGGACATTTTAGAATGATATTTTTGTAAGAAATTTGTCAATAAAGATTTAAGTTTATCTAACAAAAATCATTTAATAAGTTTTGGATTTAAGTTTTTACTTATATATTATAACAGATTCATAATAGAATCTTTTGATGTGAGATTAGGTGTCATAAATTCTTTTATTAAAGCTTAACGTCTTCATCAAACCCAACACAAAATATGTAAATCTATCGAATCATATTAAATGTTAAGTAAAACACACATCGATCATAGAATTACACAAAATATTAAAATTCTAGAGGTGACTTTCATCGTATAGTACTTAACTCTCGTAAAATTCTAAAAATGACTCTTATGATATAGTATTTAATTTCTATTTGACTAATGATTGTTCTGATATGATTTATAAATATTCACATATAACCTATTAGATATTATCTATTTTAATCTAAAAATTTATAATTTTATCTTATAAAAATTATCTTATAAATTTAAATTTAAACATTCATTTATATATTATAATGAATTCATAAAATCTTTCAATATACGATTGAGGTGTTATAAAGAAAAATGGTACGACATAAGCTTTTTGAAAGGTCTTTTTAAGGAGCTTTTGGGAGAAGAGTGTCTTAAAACAACATCGAGAATACAAAGAATAATTTATTAACAGAATATCTCTAACATCCCAATTAGAACTTAATTCGAAATAAAGCCAAAGATTCTTGATTTTCATGTGAATAATAATAATAATAATAATTATCAGTTTATCACTTTGGGAAAGATTCTGTTGTGCAGGTGTTCCATCTTCCCTACCAAGGACCAAAACTAGTTGCTAGCACACCATATTGGCACCGCCAAAGTCAGATCTGGTCCTTGATGCGCCGAATCTTGGCTGCCAGCCACCTACTCTAGCTGCTAGTGCTCCAGACCGGTTCTTCAAGCCTCCAATTTTGGGGACTGGCGCTCTGATCCGCACCTTTGATGACCAAAAACCCCATCTCCGGTGAAGCTCTTCCTTTATTTCTTGAGAAACTGGCGAGCAACATTTGAAAAAAAAAAAGAATTACAAAAATTACAAAAGAAAAAAAAAATTAAAAATACAAAATTTATCGTAGAGAATGTTATCTTCACCTTGTCTCTTGGAATGGCTATTGATAATAGCTATTCCCCTCGATAGATACCATCTGTTGGATAGCTATTCACGTAATAACTATAATGGTAAACAAACGATGGATTCACTGTTCATGTCACTTTTTCGGCCAACCAAACAAGCGTAAGAAAAATATCACACATAAATTAAAAAATTTGTAGATGTTTGATTGAACTATTTTATAAAATGTATTAGCATAAAACGATTAGGCTTATTTTTGGGCGTAGTCCGAGAAGGATTTCTCAAACCCTGGATCAATTCAATGATGACATCAGAAGCGAGCAATGTTCTTTAGATGCAGTGCATTTGCTTTTATGACATCAGAAGAGAGCAATGCTTCAATCTTGGTACTTATTTCCTGCCTTATTATGGTTCCATTTTCATCTTTGACCAAGTACAGACCAATTTTCCAAACATCGCAAATGTAGTTTCTATTACAAAACTGGTCTGCAAAGTAAGGCCAGCAAAGAAAGGGTACTCCCATGGTTAGACCTTCCATGGTGGAGTTCCATCCGCAATGGCTTAGGAAACAAGCAATAGAAGGGTGAGCTAAGAACTTTTCCTGAGGCGCCCATTCAACAAGTTTTCCATGATCTGCTACCCTATCTATGAACCGTCTGGGAATTTGGTAGGTGACCCATCACTCAAGTCAGATCCAACAACCCATAAAAATGGGTGGCCGGTGATTTCAAGTCCAAGTGCTAGTTCATTTACTTGTTGCACACTTAAGATTGTTGTGCCACCAAATGCAACATAAATGACAGTCTGCAGTTTGTTTATCAAGCCATTTTAAGCATGTTGAGTCTTCGGGCCAAAAGTTTCCAGCGAAGGCTCCCGAATGGTTGCTTGCAAGTAAAGGACCAACAGGTAAAATGTTGGGAATCAATTTCAAGGTTGGTGAGTCTAGCTCATGCAATGAGTTGCAAAGAATCGAGTCATAGAACCTGGCGTATTGGGGGATCATGAACCAAATCCAAATAAAAATTTCTGTATGACTGGGTCAGAGCAACTCCATGCAATATCAGGGCTGCTCCAGGCAGGCATATTCTTTGATAGCAAGAATGTCTCTTTCATTAGAGTTCCTGCATAGTTGTTCAAGTTTTTCACTTAGTTCAATTAATCGAGCACCTTATGTTTTTTACCCAACTATTGTGTCTAAATTAAGTTCTGAAAGCAATAAAATTGCATTCTGTATTATAAAATATAACTTTCAATAATATATGGAAGTTAGTTTCCATAAGGCACACTCTACGGTTTACTACAGATATAAATTCCCATATTCTTACCCTCATTATTTATAACTTGAGCTTCAATAAGCTGTGGAATATGTACTGACAGGGCAAAGCAAGCTGCTCCAGCAGGCCAAAATGCAATTGCTCCAATTCCCATCTTCTTAGCCAGTTCTAGCGCCCATCCAACTGATGTTTCAGCTATAACACGTTTGATCAGCTCCTTCTCATTTGACTGGTTCAATTTCAAAATCAAGTCCTCCAAATGACCTGGCATAACTCTTCCTATGCTTTCTGCCAGCTTAAAAACATCATTTCTATCGTCTCTATCTAATCCGTCGGGAATTGAAACAAGGCTTATCAGGCTTTGCTCCTTATCTTTCTCAGGCATTGAAACCATAAATTTTTCATGTATGAACTTCGTATTAACAAATGTGACTTTAACACCTTGAACAGCAATTTGGAGGGACAATTTCATGAGAGGTGCTACGTGGCCTTGTGCTGGGTATGATATAACCAATACATGCGGCCATGGCATTTGCTCACTTCTTCAACAAACTTACTTGCTTTTAAGTCCAGGCGTATACTTACATTAATTCTTATTCATGTTTAGTCTAGTTTCTGATAGCTATTGTTTTGTTTCCATCTGATTGAACTAATAAACTTAACACTCTTCTGAGATCATTTCAAGTTTACTTGGTCTTCATGGAGGACTAGCATTTTATCTGGCCTTTCTTCTTGTTCTGTTATCCCTTGTTCCTTGACCAATATGATTCCAGTGTAAAATACAAGGTACTTATAACTAAATTTAACTGTTTTTTACTTGAAGCTGTTTTCGCTTCCCTATCAGAAGACGGCAGTGGTAGATTCTAGTGATGAAAAGGACCATGTATCAATATTCTTTTGCCTCATTTCCAAGGACCCTTCCTCCTTTTTAGCTGTTTGATAAAGAAGTTTCAATTGGATGAATTAGTCCTGATGAAAGTAGCTATTTCTCTTTAATCTGCCTTGCAAGTGCAGAAGTTGGATTTGCAATCATTAGTATATTCAGGGAAACAATCAAAAGTCTTAGAATATTCATTAAATTAGAAAGTAACATTTTGTTATATGGAATGTGACAGTTTGGCCTTAATCACCACATCTTTTCTATTTATATCTATTGCATGGTTTTGCCTTACAGCCTGCCTTTATATATTTTAGAGACGGTCACCCAATCTTAATGCCTCTGTAGATAAATCTTGCTGGTTGATCCATGATCCTTATAGATTTTCACCATGACTTCCAAACAGTTTACTGTTTGCAGGTCTGGAATAGTGAGTCAAGCAAAAGCTTCTTTTAGCTATCCACTATTTTTAGCTATCCAACTAGCAAAACTTTGACCTTTAGCAGCCCGTGCATGACTAAAAATTTACTTAAGAAAACGATTTTGGTAGAATCATTCAACCATTCAGAAGAAAAGATAATGTTGGGGAATAAAAAAATGCTTGCTGCAAGTATAAATCTCGTTTTGAAACTGAAAAGCTTAATGATTTTAAGAATTTCACCCACTTGCTCGATCCAAAGGACAGGGTTCGTTTGTTTGAAGATAATATATAATTTATTCTTAAGCATGTAAAATATGACACAAGCACTACATTTCAATATCTAATTCTTCATGTACTGATTCTGAATTAACAAATATGACTTTCACTCCATGAGCAGCAATTTTGGAGGGACAACTTCATGAGAGGAGCTACGTGGCCTTGTGCTGCACTATTACATGTGGTTTTCTAGCCATGGAATGTGCTTACAACTTCTGCAAACTTCCTTGCCTTTGGTCTTAACCTGCACTTCAATTATTTTTGCTTCCTGTTTAGCCTAACTACTGATAGCAATCTTTTTATTTTCAATTGCTTAAACATTTCTGGCTGTCAAAATCATCAACAGCTTTACTCTGTCTTCGCATAGGATTATGTTGTAAGTGTCCCCTTTTCTTGTTCTATGTGATTCTTGTTTCTTTAACCTTTATTTTTCTTGTTGTGAAGATTAAAGCAAATTCGGCTACTTTCAGCTTTTTTCTTACAAAAAAAAATGGTTACATCTTAAAGCAAAGATTTAGTATGATTTGTAATCTGGACTTTCTGTTGAATCATTCATACAGACATGGCACTTGACAGACACTCTCTGTCCTCTAGAGAGGAAAAAAATGGCTTTTGATTTGCATTCAACACTTTAATTGTCTGTAGATAAATCCAGATACAGAACAAGTTGGATAATAGTAATTTTTTTCACATCATGAAAATAAAGGATATTCATATTGAACAACTTTCACTAATACAACGAGGCGCTTAGAGTTAATATCCAGGAATTCTAAATTATTACAGTTGACAAATGCCTTAAAGAAGATTAATCAATCACTAGACCATTTTTTTCCCTGAGGTTTACGACTTGAATAGAATCTGATTTCCCTCCTTGTGCTCCTCAAATGATTATCCAGGCCTAAAGGTTCTTAATATGTTGAATGAAGTTCTTAAAGTTCTTGAAAGAAGACCCACCTTCATCAGAACTCTTTCTAGCAATTTCCTTTATATGTAGCGCATTCGCCTTTATAACATCAGAAGAGAGCAAAGTGTTTATCTTTGTGCATATTTCATGCCTAGTTGTGATTCCATTTTCATCTTTGGTCAAATCTAAACCAATCTTCAGAACATCACAAATGTAGTTCTTATTACTGAACTGATCTGCTATGTAAGGCCAACATAGAAATGGTAGCCCCATGCTTAGACCTTCCATGGTGGAATTCCAGCCACAGTGGCTTATGAAACAAGAAACAGAAGGGTGAGCTAACACCTTTTCCTGAGGCGCCCATTCCACAAATTTTGCTCGTTCGGCTACTCTGTTTTTGAATCCATCTGGGAATCTAACGGTTGATCCATCCCAAAAGTTAGATCGAAAAACCCATAAAAATGGATTGCCTGCAAGTTCAAGTCCAAGAGCTAGTTCATCTACTTGTTGCGCACATATTATTGTTGAGCTACCAAATGCAACATAGATGACAGAACCAGCAGTTTGTTTGTCTAGCCAGTCTAAGCATGTTGAGTCTTCAGGCCAAGTGTTTCCAGCAAAAACTCCCAAATGGCTACTAGCAAGTAATGGACCAATAGGCAAGACATTGGGAATCAATTTCAAGACCGATGAGTCTAGTTCATAAACTGAGTTGCAAAGTACCCAGTCATAAAATTTGGCGTAGTCAGGAACAATGGTATAAAATTCAAATATAGCTTTTTGCTTAACTGGATCACTGCTTTTCCATCCAATATCAGAGCTGCTCCAGGCGGGGATATCCTCTGACAGTAAGATTGGCTCATCGTTCATCACGATTCCTAGAAACTCAAGTTTTTCAATTAGGTCAAGCGAGGAAAAACTTTCAACTTACCATCAAATTGTTAATAATTTCTCTTACCATCAGTGTTTATAATTCCAGCGTCAAGTAGTTGTGGAATGTGTACTGCAAGGGCCAAGCATGCTGCTCCAGCAGGCCAAACTGCAACTGCCTCAAGTCCCACCTTCTTGGTCACTTCTACTGCCCACCCAACTGACGTATCAGCTATAACACAAGTGATCTTCTCATTGACATTTGACTGGTTGATCTTCACAATCAAGTCCTCCAAGAATCCTCGCATAACTCTGTGTATCGTTTCCGTCACCTTACCACCATCATTTGGTCCATCTTCATCCACAACAACAGGAATTGAAACAAGGCTTATCAGGCTCCTCTCCTCAACTTTCTCGGGCAATGAAGCCATAATTTTTTCTCGTCTGACCTCTGTGTTAACAAATGTTACCTTAACTCCTTGAGCAGCAAATTGGAGGGACAATTTCATTAGAGGAGCTACATGGCCTTTTGCAGGGAATGGTATAACTAGTACATGCGGTTGCCTGTCCATAGTATATGATCACTGCTTGCACAGACCTGCTTGCTTTGAGTCTTGGCCTATATTTATATTCATGTTTATCCTAGCTTCTGACAGCTACTGTTTTGTTTTCAATTGCTTCAGAAACTCAAAAACGCGCATTCTCGTGAGATCATCATCTTCTATATATATACTTTGTCTTTACAATTAATGGAATGTACTGTGCACTGACCTTTTTGTTGTCTTGTAACCAAAGTCGTTGTTCTTAAATGCCTATATGCTTTTTTTTTCTAAAGAATAAAGCTGTAGCCTGTCATTTCGCTACATTCTTTACAACAAAACATGTAACAATTTTTAAAATTAAAATTGAAAACTCAACATTTTACAAATAAATCAAATGATTGTTGGCGAGTAACATTTAACAATGACCTTTTTCATATAATTTATCATAACGTATAGATTCAAAAATTTATAGTTTGATTTAACAAATAAATAAAATTAATATCAATATTTTATTAGATGTAATTACTCACTTAAAAAATTTATCTTTTTAAGAACTCTTAAGCTTAACTAAGGGTCTTAAAAGAATAAGTTCAGATCTATTAACCAGAATAAAGTTCGAGAGTTCGGTTACATATGAGAAGGTTATAGCACCTCCACATGCCCATCCAAGGGATGGTACCATATTATTTCAAATTTATCCTAAGGTTCGAAGTCTAATGGTTTCAAATATTAGAAATAATTTTTAAGATTCTCCATCAATATGATAGAACTCTTAAAAAATATTTCATCACCTCGAGAGTATTCAAGAATCCTATTTGATTTCTTGAAGAGGCTCTGTCGTCGAAAAAATGATTTATTTTTTTATTTTTATTTTGAAAAGAAATCTAATTATTCCACTATTTGGGCCAAATTAGAAATTTTTTTTTTGAATTTCTAAAATTTTCACCGTTTGAATCTATTTAGAAATTTTCTTTTTCTCTTTTTTCCTTAGAAAGAAAATAATATGATAATTATTTTTATTAAAATTTCATCTAAATTATTCCACCATTTGGGTCAAATTTTAGAGAAAATTTCATACCTAGAGATTTCTTAAAAATTTACCATTTGAAATTTCTAAGAATCTCATCCTTAGATAATTATCAAATATTTTCAATCCAAATTTTTATGTGGAAAAGCATACAATTACTTGTATTGAAATTTCATCTAAATCATTCCACCATTTGGGTTAAATTTAGAAGAAATTTCTAACTTAGAGATTTTTTAGGAATTTACCATTTAAAATTTCTAAAAATCTCATATTTGGGTAATTTGTATTGAATTCCAAAATTTTTTTTATATTTTTATGCCTTTTATGTTTTTAATTTTTTTTGTTTGAAAATATATATTAATTATTGTTATTAAAATTTTATCTATATTATTCCACAATTTAGGACAAATCTAGATAAAATTTCTCACATAGGAATTTTATAAAAATTTTCATTTGAAATTTTTATAAATTTCATCATTAGATAATTAATATTTATTCCCAAAATTTTTATTTTTATTATTTTATTTTATTTTGATAAAAAAAAAACAAGTAAAACAAATCAATTAAATAAAATAAATAAGAACATACCAAAAATTTGAAAACGACTTGGCTCAGGCTTGGGATACGGCTCGGCTTAAGACCAAAAATCACGGTTCAGATGTGTAGCTCGGGATCTCAGCTCGGCTGGAACCCAGGCAGAGAAATGGGTCGCAGGTTCGGGTGCACTACGGGTCGACTCGGATCTTGGCAAAGTGCGCGAATCCTATGGGTTTACTAACGCAAAAACGACGTCGTTTTGGGAAGGGTATATAAGGTTGAAGATCGATTTTTTTTCAGAATTCCCTTTTCCTCTTCTCTCTCTTCCCTTCTCCTCTCCTCTTTCTCTTCAAACAATTTCAGATTTCAGTTGAATTCCTACTAAAATTTGAAAAAAGTCATCGAAAACTTCAAATTTGGTCGAAAAACTCATCGAAAAATTTAAAATTCGTCTGAAATTTCATCGGATTCTGAAAAATTTTCAAAAATTTTCCAGAAAAAATTCAAAAAAAAACTTCTAAAAATCCTATACTGCCTCTAAACACTTTTTGCTTATGTTTCACCTTTTTGTTTTCTTTTTTTCTCTCTGATTCTTATGTCCCTTATGTGTGATTTATGGACCTATTTATAGAGATTGATCAGAAAAGTTTCTGATCAATCCCAACTCCTTCTGGGATTTGGATTCAATATTTGAATCCAATCCCAACTCTGTCAATTCCTAAATCACGGTCAAATTCATTTCAATTTTTTTATCCTAATCCTAATCTTAACCGAAAATTAATCAAAATAAAAAAGATAGATATATTAATAGATAACAAAAAATAATTGGATAAATAAAAGAAATAGATAAATAATAAAAATATTAATAGATAAAAAAATAAAAATAAAAAAATTATATTAATAAATAGACAAATAATAAAAAAATAAAAATAAAAACCAATTGGGCCAGCTAATTGGATCCTGAATCGGATCCAATAGGCTTAAGCCCAAATCCTATTGGACCAGGCCCAATGGCCTTAGGCCCGGACCAAATAGGGTGCCTACAGCTGCCCTTCTTTGCACATTTTCTGTGAAACAGGAATTGTGCAAAGACATAGACACCCATTCAAGACTCAACTTGATATTTTTTGCCCATTTTTTTTTAATCAAAGCTTTTTTAAGTAGAGGCTTTACGACTTTGAAAAAAATAAACAAAGCTCCTCTAAATAGAGGCTCCATGACCTTAAAAATAAATGGCTCCCCTAATCAAAGGCTCAACGACTTTGAAAAATAAATGGCTCCTCTAATCAGAGGCTCAACGATTTTAAAAAATAAATGGCTCTTCTAATCAGAGGCTCAACGACTTTGGAAAATAAATAAATTCTTTAAGCAGAAGCACCATGACTTCAAAAATAAATGCTCCTCTAAACAGAGGCACCATAATTTTAAAAAGTAAATTGCTCTTCTAAACAGAGGCATCAAGACTTTGAAAATAAATGGCTCATTAACAATCATGTTCAAAGGAGTTATAGATCGTGACTGAAGGATCTTTGTAATGGAAACTCAAGGATTCACAATTTGAGTTCAACATTAAGAGGTTCAGATTCGCAAGAATCTTTTAACTGCGTAAGAATTTATTAAAATTTGATTCTTAAAATTTCAGTTTCATTCAAATTTGTAATATCTTGAGATTTGCATTTGCAACTTGCAAGACTCGCATCCAACATTTAAAGATCCTTATTTGAATTTTGAAGATTCACATCCAAAAGTTCAAGGCTTTTCAAAGGTTCTTATTTGGTAAACTTGAAATTCATATAAAAAAATCTAAAGCTTTTCATTTGAATTTTAGAGATTCACATCCAAAAATTCAAAGCTTTTTATTTGAGTTCAAAGGCTCACATGCAATAAAACTTAGAGTTTCACATCTAAGTTCAAGGGTTCTCATTTAAAACAGTAGAAATTCATATCCAAAAAGTTGAAGCTTTGTATTTTGGAGATTCACATCCAAAAGTTCAAAACTTTTCATTTGTTTGAAGATTCACATTCAATGAACTTTAGGGTTTCACTCCTCAAAGATTCTCATTTTGAAACTCAAACATTCTCATTTGAGTTTTATTCACTTTTGATGGTTACCATTTTTTAGAATCCGAATGGCTGTTTTATTCACTTTTGATTGCATTATTAATTTTGTTATATGTAAAAATAGTATTTAAGTAATTTAATAGCTAATAAGGCTGAAAGTATAAAAATATGGTTTTACTACTTTTATTATAGACAATGAAAAATTTGATAATTTGGTAACAAATAAATGTAAATGTAATAAATATACTATTATTGGTTTCTTTTACTATAAAAAAATATAACACATTAAGTAATTTGATGATAAATTAATGAATGTAAAACTAACAAGATATAATATTACCAGTTTCAAAACATATAATAATAATTTGATATTTAAATAACAAAAAATAGTTTAAAAATTGTCTGTTTGCTTTAATAAGTTATGGTTGCAAGTAGAAATTCACACTCTACTTGTGAGGTATTATTTGTTTTGATCCAAAAATTTCACGATTTTATCCTATAAAACTCATTTCATAAGTTTTGGATTTAAGTTTCTACTTATATATCATAGCAAATTCATAGAGTCTTCTGATGTGAAATTAGGGTGTCACAAACTCTTCTATTAAAGCTTAACGTCTTTATCAAACCCAACACAAAGCATGTAAATCTATTGAATCATATTAAACGTTAAGCAAGTCCAACACAAAACTTACATAGATCATAGAATTACACTAAACATTAGAATTTTAGAGGTAGCTTTCACCGTACAGTACTTAGCTCTCCTAAAATTCTAAAAGCGGCTCCCATTTAATTCATATCTAACTAATGATCATTCTGATATGGTTTGTAAATACCCACATCTAACATATTAGATATTATCTATTTTGATCTGAAAATTTTATGATTTTATCTCATAAAAAATGTCTCATAAATTTTAAATTTAAACATTTATTTATATATCATAATAAATCCATAAAATCTCTCAATATATCATTGAGATATCATAAAGAGTAATGCCACAACATAAGCTTTTTGAAAGGTCTTTTAAGGAGCTTTTGGGAGAAGAGTGTCATAAAAAAACATCGAGAATACAAAGAATAAAATACAAAGAATCTTTAAAAGCAACTTTAGAGGTTGTTTCATAACGGTTTTGGGACTGCCAGATGTAAAAGAGTTTTAAAATCGAGAAAAATAAAATGGAGTTGCCACCAATCTTTGTTAGAGTGTGATTGGCCATCCAAAAGTTTATCATTTCAATAAAACTTATAAAAACGTGTTTAAAGTTTATCAAAAAGATAAATTTCGGTCTACGAAAAATCAAGTTGGGTCCAGGAGTCGGTTACGTGTGGAGAAGGATTAGCACCCCCACAACGCGCATAAATTGATACCATTTAATTACTCGCTATTTTCGATGTTAGATAAAAATGATTTTAATTTGAAATTTAAAACTAATTCCCTTCCTTTGAAAAATAAAATTTTGCTAAAATATTTTTATTTAGAAATATTGAGAAAATCTTTAAGTTAAAGAATTATCTTAAAATTCTCAAACATCTAGACAGAATTTATAATAACTCTTTTCGCTTAAGATTTAACACAATAATCCTTAAAATGAAATAACAATCTTTATAGAAAATAATTGTTGGTGACTCTCCAACATCTAGGCAGAGTACCAAGAATTATTTTTTTCGAAATGTTATTTTTATTTTATTTTATAGTATCACAAAAAGATTTTTTTTAAAAGTATTATTCTTTTTTATTATAAAATATTTTATCATTGAACAGTAAATTAAAGAGAGAATAATGCAAACAATTATCGATGATAATATGCTAACGTATGTATGCTAATGAATGTCATGTAAAATGAAATGCAATTTAAGAGTTGAATTCTTAAGTATAATGAGACCATCCCGACTTTTCAACATTTAGGCAGAGCTTAAGTGTGACTGTTTATATTTAAGATCCCAATTTTGTTATACTCTTTATTTATTAATCTTATTATTAATGTAAATTAGGAACTCGTGTGAAAAACTTAATGAAATGAAATTTCTCAAATACCCCATCATTTAGGTAGCATTCGAGAACAAATCATTTCATGTGAGATTTTTACACGTATCCTTAAAATTTAAAAAAAGATTTAGGGTAAAAGTTTATGGTTCAAGTTTAGGGTTTGGGATTTAATTAAAACGCAAAATCTCTAAAAATTTTCATAATCTAGGTGGACTTTTGGAGTAAGTTCAAATTTTTTTTAAATTTTGAAAATTAATTAAAATTTTCTTATATATTTCTTTTTATGAAAATTTATTAATAATAATTCTTCAACATCTAGGAGAAATTATTTGTTTAAGAAAATATTTTTTATTCCCTCCAACATCTAGGCAGGGAAAATAAAAAGCTTATTCCATTATTATTATTATTTAAACATTTTTAATATATTTTTTAGTTATTATCTTATATTGTTTTCATTTTATTATTATTAATAACAATTATATATTTATCATAATAAATTTAAACATTTATCATGCATAAATATAAAATAACAAAAATAATAATATAAAAAAAAAATTTTTTACTTGAACTAGACCGGTCAACGCTGGTCTAGGCCGGTCTGACCGGTTCGATGGTTTAATCAGCGGTTCAACGATCCGACGGTTCGGATCGATTTACTAGCGGTTCGTCTGAACAGTTCAAGGCTGATTGAAGCGTCAGGTCGGGTTGCACGGATCTCGGGTCGAGTTCGGTTCACGGGTAGATCCTCTACGCTTGAAACGGCGTCGTTTTACCTTTATGTTTTCTATAAAAATCAGATTTTTTTCCTCAGTTTGTTTCATTCACAGAAAAAAGGGGTTTAGGGTTCTCTGGCTTCGTCGGAATCCGACGCCGGGCGATGCGCCGCCCGCTGTGTGAGTCACCGCCGGTGATTTCGAGTCCAAATGCTAGTTCATTTACTTGTTGCACACTTAAGATTGTTGTGCCACCAAATGCAACATAAATGACATAGTCTGCAGTTTGTTTATCAAGCCATTTTAAGCATGTTGAGTCTTCGGGCCAACAGTTTCCAGCGAAAGCTCCTGAACGGTTGCTTGCAAGTAAAGGAGCAACAGGTAAAATGTTGGGAATCAATTTCAAGGTTGGTGAGTCTAGCTCATGCAATGAGTTGCAAAGAATCGAGTCATAGAACCTGGCATATTGGGGGATCATGAACCAAATCCAAATAAAAATTTCTGTATGACTGGGTCAAAGCAACTCCATGCAATATCAGAGCTGCTCCAGGCAGGCATATTCTTTGATAGCAAGAATGTCTCTTTCATTAGAGTTCCTGCATAGTTGTTCAAGTTTTTCACTTAGTTCAATTAATCGAACACCTTATGTTTTTTACGCAACTATTGTGTCTAAATTAAGTTCTGAAAGCAATAAAATTGCATTCTGTATTATAAAATATAACTTTCAATAATATATGGAAGTTAGTTTCCATAAGGCACACTCTACGGTTTACTATAGATATAAATTCCCATATTCTTACCCTCATTATCTATAACTTGAGCGTCAATAAGCTGTGGAATATGTACTGACAGGGCAAAGCAAGCAGCTCCAGCAGGCCAAAATGCAATTGGCTCCAATTCCCATCTTCTTAGCCATTCTAGCGCCCATCCAACTATGTTCAGCTATAACAACGCTTCTGATTCACTCTTCTCATTGACTGGTTCAATTTCAAAATCAAGTCCTCCAAATGACCTGGCATAACTCTTCCTATGCTTTCTGCCAGCTTAAAAACATCATTTCTATCGTCTCTATCTAATCCGTCAGGAATTGAAACAAGGCTTATCAGGCTTTGCTCCTTATCTTTCTCGGGCATTGAAACCATAAATTTTTCATGTATGAACTTCGTATTAACAAATGTGACTTCAACACCTTGAAGAGCAATTTGGAGGGACAATTTCAAGAGAGGTGCTACGTGGCCTTGTGCTGGGTATGATATAACCAATACATGCGGCCATGGCATTTGCTCACTTCTTCAACAAACTTACTTGCTTTTAAGTCCAGGCGTATACTTATATTAATTCTTATTCATGTTTAGTCCAGTTTCTGATAGCTATTGTTTTGTTTCCATCTGATTGAACTAATAAACTTAACACTCTTCTGAGATCATTTCAAGATTACTTGGTCTTCATGGAGGACTAGCATTTTATCTGGCCTTTCTTCTTGTCCTGTTATCCCTTGTTCCTTAACCTATATGATTCCAGTGTAAAATACAAGGTACTTATAACTAAATTTAACTGTTTTTTACTTGAAGCTGCTTTCGCTTCCCTGTCAGAAGACGGCAGTGGTAGATTCTAGTGATGAAAAGGACCATGTATCAATATTTTTTTGCCTTGTTTCCAAGGACCCTTCCTCCTTTTTAGCTGTTTGATAAAGAAGTTTCAATTGGATGAATTAGTCCTGATGAAAGTAGCTATTTCTCTTTAATCTGCCTTGCAAAGTGCCGAAGTTGGATTTGCAATGAATTAGTATATTCAGGGAAACAATCAAAAGTCTTAGAATATTCATTAAATTAGAAAGTAACATTTTGTTATATGGAATGTGACAATTTGGCCTTAATCACCACATCTTTTCCATTTATATCTATTGCATGGTTTTGCCTTACAGCCTGCCTTTATATATTTTAGAAGCGGTCACCCAATCTTAATGCCTCTGTAGATAAATCTTGCTGGGTGATCCATGATCCTTATAGATTTTTATCATGACTTCCAAACAGTTTACTGTATGCAGGTCTGGAATAGTGAGTCAAGCAAAAGCTTCTTTTAGCTATCCACTATTTTTAGCTATACAACTAGCAAAACTTTGACCTTTAGCAGCCCGTGCATGACTAAAAATTTACTTAAGCAAACGATTTTGGTAGAATCATTCAACCATTCAGAAGAAAAGATAATGTTGGGGAATAAAAAAATGCTTGCTGCAAGTATAAATCTCGTTTTGAAACTGAAAAGCTTAATGATTTTAAGAATTTCACCCACTTGCTCGATCCAAAGGACAGGGTTCGTTTGTTTGAAGATAATATATAATTTATTCTCAAGCATGTAAAATATGACACAAGTACTACATTTCAATATCTAATTCTTCATGTACTGATTCTGAATTAACAAATGTGACTTTCACTCCATGAGCAGCAATTTTGGAGGGACAACTTCATGAGAGGAGCTACGTGGCCTTGTGCTGCACTATTACATGTGGTTTTCTAGCCATGGAATGTGCTTACAACTTCTGCAAACTTCCTTGCCTTTGGTCTTAACCTGCACTTCAATTATTTTTGCTTCCTGTTTAGCCTAACTACTGATAGCAATCTTTTTATTTTCAATTGCTTAAACATTTCTGGCTGTCAAAATCATCAACAGCTTTACTCTGTCTTCGCATAGGATTATGTTGTAAGTGTCCCCTTTTCTTGTTCTATGTGATTCTTGTTTCTTTAACCTTTATTTTTCTTGTTGTGAAGATTAAAGCAAATTCGGCTACTTTCAGCTTTTTTCTTACAAAAAAAAATGGTTACATCTTAAAGCAAAGATTTAGTATGATTTGTAATCTGGACTTTCTGTTGAATCATTCATACAGACTTGGAACTTGACACACACTCTCTGTCCTCTAGAGAGGAAAAAAATGGCTTTTGATTTGCATTCAACACTTTAATTGTCTGTAGATAAATCCAGATACAGAACAAGTTGGATAATAGTAATTTTTTTCAGATCATGAAAATAAAGGATATTCATATTGAACAACTTTCACTAATACAACGAGGTGCTTAGAGTTAATATCCAGGAATTATAAATTATTACAGTTGGCAAATGCCTTAAAGAAGATTAATCAATCACTAGAACATTCTTTTCCCTGAGGTTTACGACTTGAATAGAATCTGATTTCCCTCCTTGTGCTCCTCAAATGATTATCCAGGCCTAAAGGTTCTTAATATGTTGAATGAAGTTCTTAAAGTTCTTGAAAGAAGACCCACCTTCATCAGAACTCTTTCTAGCAATTTCCTTTATATGTAGCGCATTCGCCTTTATAACATCAGAAGAGAGCAAAGTGTTTATCTTTGTGCATATTTCATGCCTAGTTGTGATTCCATTTTCATCTTTGGTCAATTCTAAACCAATCTTCAGAACATCACAAATGTAGTTCTTATTACTGAACTGATCTGCTATGTAAGGCCAACATAGAAATGGTAGCCCCATGCTTAGACCTTCCATGGTGGAATTCCAGCCACAGTGGCTTATGAAACAAGAAACAGAAGGGTGAGCTAACACCTTTTCCTGAGGCGCCCATTCCACAAATTTTGCTCGTTCGGCTACTCTGTTTTTGAATCCATCTGGGAATTTAACGGTTGATCCATCCCAAAAGTTGGATCGAAAAACCCATAAAAATGGATGGCCTGCAAGTTCAAGACCAAGAGCTAGTTCATCTACTTGTTGCGCACATATTATTGTTGAGCTACCAAATGCAACATAGATGACAGAACCAGCAGTTTGTTTGTCTAGCCAGTCTAAGCATGTTGAGTCTTCAGGCCAAGTGTTTCCAGCAAAAACTCCCAAATGGCTACTAGTAAGTAATGGACCAATAGGCAAGACATTGGGAATCAATTTCAAGACCGATGAGTCTAGTTCATAAACTGAGTTGCAAAGTACCCAGTCATAAAATTTGGCGTAGTCAGGAACAATGGTATAAAATCCAAATATAGCTTTTTGCACAACTGGATCACTGCTTTTCCATCCAATATCAGAGCAGCTCCAGTCGGGGATATCCTCTGACAGTAAGATTGGCTCATCGTTCATCACGATTCCTAGAAACTCAAGTTTTTCAATTAGGTCAAGCAGGCAAAAACTTTCAACTTACCATCAAATTGTTAATAATTTCTCTTACCATCAGTGTTTATAATTCCAGCCTCAAGTAGTTGTGGAATGTGTACTGCAAGGGCCAAGCATGCTGCTCCAGCAGGCCAAATTGCAACTGCCTCAAGTCCCACCTTCTTGGTCACTTCTACTGCCCACCCAACTGACGTATCAGCTATAACACAAGTGATCTTCTCATTGACATTTGACTGGTTGATCTTCACAATCAAGTCCTCCAAGAATCCTCGCATAACTCTGTGTATCGTTTCCCTCACCTTAACACCATCATTTGGTCCATCTTCATCCACAACAACAGGAATTGAAACAAGGCTTACCAGGCTCCTCTCCTCAACTTTCTCGGGCAATGAAGCTATAATTTTTTCTCGTCTGACCCTGTGTTAACAAATGTTACCTTAACTCCATGAGCAGCAAATTGGAGGGACAATTTCATTAGAGGAGCTACATGGCCTTTTGCAGGGAATGGTATAACTAGTACATGCGGTTGCCTGTCCATAGTATATGATCACTGCTTGCACCAGACCTGCTTGCCTTAAGTCTTGGCCTATATTTATATTCATGTTTATCCTTAGCTTCTGACAGCTACTGTTTTGTTTTCAATTGCTTCAGAAACTCAAAAACGCGCATTCTTGTGAGATCATCATCTTCTCTATATATACTTTGTCTTTACAATTAATGGAATGTGCTGTTCACTGGCCTTTTTGTTGTCTTGTAACCAAAGTCCTTGTTCCTTAAATGCCTGTATGCTTTTTTTCTAAAGAATAAAGCTGTAGCCTGTCATTTCGCTTACATTCTTTACAACAAAACGTGTAACAATTTTTAAACTTAAAATTGAAAACTCAATATTTTACAAATAAATCACATGATTGATGACGAGTAACATTTAACAATGGTTTTTTCATGTAACTAAAATCACAAAATTTCATATAAATATCAATTTTTTCGAGGGTAAATTTTAGTTACATCTTTGTCATTTTAATCTTTTTGTATGAAACTTTGTGATTGAATTTTATTTGGAAAGAAGTTAGATAATTTTACCCAATAAAATTATCAAAGTATTCTCAAATCAAAATTTACCTGTTTCGTAGGCCCAATACTTTCTTCAATTAGATTCAAGACAAGGAAAATCCATGAGATTCACAAGTTTTCTAGATAAGTTCTAAACAACGTCACTTGTATGCTTCTTGTCCTAATCAAGCTTTGTCCACGGTAACTCAAACCATATAATTATGTCTCATATATAAGAGCTACAAAGTAAAAAGTTGAGATAATGTCAACTTACCTTCCCCAGTTGGTCATCAAAGCCGATGTCATCGCGTAAGTACAGAGAACTTTTTCTTCTGTTCCGAATACGCATGAAATTCAAAGCTACCAATAGTTGATTATTTTAATATAAAATTAAAAATAAAAATAGTTTTTAATTATGACAATTGACTTTCATATTTAATTACTCATATTATTACGTTTGTATTCAAATAATAAAATAATTTTTATTCTTAATTTTAATCTCAATTTAATCTCATCATAATTGTTGTTTTTAATATCATTAAAGTTAAAAATTTTACCCTTTGTTAAAATTAACCATAAATTAATGATTTAAATATACATACACACGTGTGTGTATATATATATATATATATATCTCAAATCATGGACAACTACAATCTTGTCTTCATGGCGGAATGAATAAGATAAGAGAAACCTTTCTTCTTGTTTTGTTATTTTAATTAGCAATTGATTCTTTAGCAATTGTATTTTTCTTCTTGTAAAGATAGAAGCAACATTCACTTAAAGCTATATTTGATGATTTGTAATCTGGACTTTGTGTTGAACCAGTAGATTAAAACTCTATATAATATATGTGATTCATTCTTGGCAATTGTTCCCTACATACCTTGTAAATATAAAATTTGAGAACATTTTAAGCCTTTGGCAAGCAGTTATGTAGAATTTAATGTAGAAAAACCTAGAACAAGTTGGAGGATAAGATATAATAGAGAAGACTTGAACTCTCAAGCATGCTTATGGAGCTAATCTTATAGACTGTTGAGTTGCTGATAATTTTTTTTTCTATACTTGAGGTTGGCAGAATTTGAACTATTGGAAC